CACGTAATGCGGGAGAAAAGGCGGTGCGGCGGAACAGCCCGTGCGATAAGATGCCGCACCGCCTTTTCTCCCGCATTACGTGTCCGGCGCTCCGCGCCTTTCCCCTTCCTATAGAAGAGTTTTTCGTTCATAGTATTAATTAAACCTGGCTGCGAAGCCTTTTCGCCCTGATCGTAACAGCCGTGACAGTGTTGTGGCTAGTTCAGATTTGCGGAGAGCCCCACTATTAAGTGCACGGACGAAAAAGTGTGGCCATTGGCCACACTTTTTCGTCCGTGCATTTGTTAAAGCACCGAAATTTGCCAGGCCCGGTTCAGGTTCCGCCCCCCATTTCAAGCAAAGCTGTCATGTCAACCCCGAGCTAGCTCCGGATTTTTCCTTATAGGGTGCAAACAGAAAGGCAATCCTTTTTCCCAAGTGTTCGTGTGTCACAGATTATGTACCGGTGCAGGGCAGCTACAGTTGTAAGGCACCGCCGCAGGCGGGGAAGCGCCCAGGGGGCGCACGTGGCCTGCCTCCTCTCCACACCGTATGGCGGAAGTTAAACCCCTCCCTTACTGTTTTTTTTTGGCCCCTTTGGAAAGGAGGGCCAAAAATCAGCAAGGAAGCCACAGCATCATTGTAGAAGGCAGCGGCTACAGCACTGTCTTCTAAATACAAGCCTTGTTGGTCCTGTGGACCTGACCGCACCCAACTAGACCGCCTGTTGAGGGGTCTGTGACGTCGTGGATAGTGTGATGGTGCGGCGTGCCTTGTTGGGTAGACGCAGTCATGTCTCGTTTGCACCAAGGTACTAAGCCCAACGTGGGGTACAAGTCGGACAACTCGTACTTTCTCGTCCTTTTGGCCTAGTTGGATTGGGCTTGGCTAGATGTTGCCAGAGCCGTGACAATACCTTTTGCCTTCCCTATCAACTGTGACAGCTACGGCGCATTGGATATTCTGGTTGACAGTTTATCGAGCGCGGCCGATGGACGGCTGTATCCGCAAGACTGGCCCTTCTGCACCATCGTGGATACGGCGGGTCGATCTGGGCTGGCGTAAATACAGTTGCTTGGATGCGTCAAATGTTCGCCAACTCCGGCTCATCCCCAGCTCGCGCCCTAACATCTATCTTTCAAAGCGCTCCCACAAGTTATTAAGGCTTTCCAGCGGCCTTTGCATCCGCGAGAAAGCGGACAGAAGCAGTACCACCAGGAGCAGCGGCAACGCCGTGGCCCAGTACACCCAGAATTCGCCGTTCCCGCCTGGCGAGTACCTTTCAGACATGCTGAACAGGCCCGCGACCCAGGACAGCGGCACGAAAACGAGGGCGATGTAGGTTAGTCGCGTGACGTTGGCCGACTGGGCGATCGACTGCCGCGAGTCGAGCAGCTGTACCATAGCCGTCGCCACAGGGATCATTTGTTCCAGCGAGTGGCTATGGTCCCTAAGCTGCGATTGCAAAAAGCCGATATCTTTAAGAACCAGGTCCCAAGGCTGCTGCTGCTTGTCGATATCACTGTCGTCCCCTAGCCGCTGCTTTTGCTGCTTGTGAGGAAGCCAGTGGTGGACGAACTCGACGAGAAGGGCCAATTTGTGTTGGCTCTGCTTGCACCGTCGCCGCCAGCGCTGGAGATCGACAATGTCGCTGTCGTGCAGCCGAATGTGGACGTCCCGCAGGGTATACTCGTAAAATTTGACATATCGGCTGGCCAGGTGAGTGTAGAGAACCCATTCGGCCAGCGCGATACGGATCGGGTAGTAGCCCATTGTAAGGATGTTCGATGGCATGGCATTGGCGGAAAACCCCTGCAGCCGGCGGTGGTTGACGAAGTAGTGGACGAGGCTGCCGAGCATGGACCTTTGGTGGGGAGGATCCTGCAAATTACGATCGATGTTTCCGGTGGCCGCTTCGAAGGATGAGAAGGGTGCCGGCTGTACGAAGTCTTCGAAGCCACCATGTAGAGGCTTGCTCGTATGCTTTGTTATGTTTCCCGCATTTACAGTGGCGATGACCGAATTGATTGGGGGATCAACTAGAATGAGGCCTAAAGCAGATTGGTCAGGACTTATGGTGGTTAGGGGCTGAGTTTTGGGGATACTCACAAATCCACGAGCCGTCGCTCATCCTTCGCGATAACATGGAGCAACATCCCCGCGCAAGAGCAAGTTGTCTTCCCGACAGGGGAGGCAGTCGGCGGACGTTACGTGGGGGGCTCGAGTCCGTTTTGAGAGCGTACGGCAAGGTATCGAACGTTGATGAATTGCCTAGGTCGATCACCTGCTGATAATGGACATACAAAAACCCCTTTTCGGCAAGTTGCGATGGAAAAAAGGCAAGGGAGGGCGGAAGGGGCGCTTTTTCGATGTCTTGAAAGTCTGTGTTAATGTGGCCTGCGAAAAACACCGGGTCCACCTCGAGGATCTGGCCAAGGATGATTAGCGCTTGAGGCTGGATGTTTTCGACGAGAACGACACGCATTTGAGGGCGCGATCCGATTGTAGACAAGTTTGGCCAGGTCAGTAGCTTAGTGAGCTCGGGTGCTGTAATTTCCTGCGGGGTCGGGGGTTTGTTTTCGTTTGCGGGGTAATCGACGACGACAAGTCTGCTGGCACTGGCGAACGGCGGCTGCTTAACGTACCGAGCCAGGCCACTGATGCAGGGATTTGTTCGGCTTCGAGCCACGATGAAATCCTCGTAGGACAGTTGCGGGGTAGTCATCTTCTGTTTCTTTGCCTTATTTTTCTTTCAGTCGGCTGCGGTTGCAACCGCATTTAAAAGCTCAGCTGGAACGAGCATTAAATATCACCTGGGCATGACCACACCATCAAGTTTGCAGCGCCACGTCAAATTCTGCATGGCTAAGCCACCATGGAAAGTGCAGATTCAGCTTACGCAGAAGGACCTCCTTCGGCCCGAAAAGAAACGGAGGATAACCCCTCACTTCCCAGCCTGCCTTCGACTTTTGTTGCTACAATTCCTCTTCCCACCACCGTGTCTCAATTAAACTGTTACACGCAAAACAGCCTAGGCTTCATTATATTCCGAACTTGATCCTCCAAACATCGTTTCGATCACGGAACGAAAGCAGAGTCACAATGGAAACGGAATGTCAATCAGCTCAGGCGGACGAGGAAGGACCCCCAAAGAGGTTACCTCAAACGGAATTCCCTCCACTGACAGCGGGCAGCTCATCTCAAGCCAGTGCCCAAGGGGACGAACCATTTTCCCCCAAGACTCAGGCGCTCACTGAAACCGCGTTTTACTCGTCTCAACCCCCGGCAACGACAGGGCAACTCCGGGCGAAAATCGACAGATTGATTGAAAGCCAGCAGGTGCCAAGCGTGGGCGACCCCGAGGAGCGGAGCAAGCTCCTGAGAGAAACGTTTATCAACAACGTCTGGCCCGCTGTGCAAGGTAACTACAAGAAAATGATGGAAGAGCTTAAGGAGCTGTTGGAAAAAGGTCTCATAAATGAAGGCATCCATGCTGGGCTCTCCGCGCGAGTCAAAGAGGTCGAGTCTATCGACAAGTCCCTTCGGCGACGTGACGACCATCTCGCCAAGGACAAGGGAAAGCGATTCGAAAGCTTGGACGACGTGCTACGCCACATACACGACCTAGCCGGGCTGAGGATCGTCGTGCCATTCCGGGACCAGCTCACCAAAGCCAAGGAGTTCATCGAGCGGACCTTCTCGCAACAGGGCGAGCCCACCCACTTCTTGCCAGACCGCGAAGTTGGCCAGAAATGGAAGAAGTTCGAGTTCGGCGCCTACGAGACCCTCAACTATCGCCTCAGCTACCGAACCGGGCAATATCGCGACGTGACCTTTGAAGTGCAGCTTACGGGCCTGGCCGAGCACCTGTTCAACATGGTCAACCACCCATTCTTGTACAAGGGCGCATATGGGCCCCTTACCGAGGCCGACGAGATGGTGCTGGACCAGCTGCACGGTCACGCAAAGGGCTTTACGCTTTCCATTCAGCAACTTGTGAAGGATAGGCTGAGGCCGCCTCCTCAGGTGCAAGGCATCCAACAAGTAGACGGAGATGCCATGGTGGCCATGACTCGCAATCTTCTATCCAGGGTTATACAAGAGTCCGACACAATCGTCAACCACGTCGTGAAGGGTGTTGAGGGTGGCAAGACGCCAGCTAGGATCGGCGACCAAGGAGGCCCTATGGAGCAGCTGAGCAAATTGTTCGAGTAAGTGGCTTTGCAATCCAGCTTGTAGCATATGCCTTCATTGCTAACGCCTTAAAAGCCGAATCCAGATTGCCGTTGACGAGGCTAAGTGCCCGCGGTACCACAACATACCGTTTCCGCGTAACGAAGCTCTTGTAAAGCGTGGCGGCATCTTCTCAGAGCTCGAAAGGCTGCTCCCGTCGCAGGCCGAGTCGCAGACCGCTGCGCTATGGGGCCTGGGTGGGTCCGGGTGAGGCTGCCTTAATCCAAACTTTTGTTGGGAATAACGACTGACGAGCAAGCAGGAAAACACAGGTGGCGCTCGAATATGCGTACCGCCGGTGGCACAACAGTGCACCCTGCTCGGTCTTTTGGGTGCATGCCGACAACGAAGCGACGTTCACGCAGGACTACCAATCGATTGCGAAGAAATTGCGCTTACCGGCGAACTTGCAAGACGAAGAGCTGCTAGCGGCGGTGCGGGACCGTATCGAAGCTGAGCCTTCCTGGGTGCTTGTCCTCGACAACGCCGACAACCTCGGATTGTTTGGCGCGGGTTGGAGAACGCCGGGCGCGAGCGGGCAACCGCATCGGACGACGACAGATTACGCACCAAAAAATCTGCGCCAGTTCGTCCCCCGGGGCCCTACCGGGACGGTTTTATGGACGACCCGTGACGAGAGGATCGCCGGCAGCCTCGTTATTGCTCGGCAAACAATCAACGTGGCGCGCATGGAGGCAGGTGAAGCGGTAAAGCTGCTCGAAACGATGAGAAACCAAGCCATCAACGACACGGAACAGGACAACGCCTCAGCGTTACTTGCCGAGCTCGACTGGCTTCCGCTCGCGATTTCGCAAGCTGCGGCATACATGCGGCGGACGCGCACGCCGATCGAGGAATACCTGTCGAAGCTGAAAGGAGGGAAAAGACGATGGAGGATTCTTCGAGCATCGGAACCTGACGTTCATCGGAGATGCGAGGTATCGAACAGCATCCTGAAGACGTGGAGCATTTCCATCGAGCACATCCGACAGGAAAACGAGATGGCATACAACATTTTGCATATTCTGGCGTTTTTGGACAACCAGAATATTCCTGAGCAAATGATGAAGAAGGCGGCAAAGCATTTCGAGAGCCGGCGAGCACAATCAAGTGACAGCGAGGACGGCAGTGATGGCGAGGACGATAGTGATAGCGAGGACGACAGCGACAGCGAGGACGAAGACGCTATAGACGCTATCACGCGCCTTCGGGAGTTTTCGTTTCTGAGCCTACGCGCATCCGATTGGGGCCGTGCGTATGAGATGCACAAGTTAGTGCAAGAGGCCGCTCGATACCGCCTGCGAGCGAAAGAGGACGAAACATTCTTTGCCAAAGCAGCGCTCCGTATTGCCGACGATCTTTTTCCGGAAAGACGACGGGAGCTTTGGGAGGAAGGAGAGAAATACCTTGTACACGCGCAGCGAGTGGGCGAGTGGGCGGAGTTGTGTGGAGAGGAGGAGGCCGCGGCGTTGCTAACTCGAGTGTCAGGCTATTTATACGATCGCGGAAGGTGGAGAGAGAAGGAGCCAGTTAGTAAAAAAACGTACGGACTTCGGAAAAAAGTGCTAGGCGACAAGCATCCCGATACGATCTGGAGCATGGCGGACCTCGCAACGACATACCGCATTCAAGGGAGGTACGACGAGGCAGAAAAAATGAATATGGAGGCGCTGGCGCTGCGGCGGGATGTGCTCGGCGACAAACATCCCGATACGATCTGGAGCATGGCGACCCTCGCAACGATATACGGCAATCAAGGGAGGTACGACGAGGCAGAAAAAATGAATATGGAGGCGCTGGCGCTGCGGCGGGGATGTGC